CCTCCTCGATGTCAGAGAGGGGTCCCTCTGCCCCGGGGTCAATCACCACCCGGGGGGCAGAGATGGCATGAGTCTCCAGGATGCGGTCCAGTCCCAGAAAGTGGGGGCAGGACTCCGGGTCGGCCCCTGGCAGGCAGGCCCGGGAGTAGGACTGCCGCAGGTCCTTTATCTTGCAGCGGACCTGCTCCCTGCTGCGGTGGTGGCCTCTGGCGGCCAGGCTGGGCGGCCAGCCATGCGGCCATAGACTGCCGCATTCCTGTGGCTAGTGTGGAGATCGTGGACATTGGAGGCTTCCCCCCAAACCTGGATGAGGTCCACGATCTCCGCACTAGACCAGGCGGGCGCCCGGCTCCCCGGGCCCTGGGCAGGCTCCTGGGAAAGAGGGGGAGGCCGGGGGGGCATCGGGTGGCTGGCTCATGGGGTGTCAGGTGCACAGTCTGCTGGCAGCGTGCTGTCAGCCTTGCAACTGGCACAAACCCTGTAGCCAGCCCGTGGCCCTTTAAGGGCTCCGGGGCCGGGAGGGGGGCAATAGAGTTTGCCTGGTGTTGGCCAGAGTGGCCAGCAGGGCAAGCTGGGAAGGGCTAGCCTCCCACTAGTTCGAATTAAGGGGCTACACACCCCTTAATTCAAACTAGTAAGTTCGAACTAGGCTTAGTCCTCGTGGAATGAGGTTTACCTAGTTCGAACTAAGTGCTCCGCTAGTTCGAATTAAGTTCGAACTAACGGAGCGCTAGTGTAGCGCCTATTAAAGTTAATTCGAACTAACATCCGTTAGTTCGAATTAACTTTGTAGTGTAGACATACCCAAACATAGGAGCACTTCTGCTCTAACTCGGTAGGGTGTTTAACACCTCGCCTTCTCCAGGTCCCACTCCCACTTCACCCCTTCCCTCAAGCTCCTCCCTCAAACTCCTGCCTCTGCCACACTTCTTTCCACCCCCTCTCCAGAGCTCACCACATCCTCCCTCCTCACCCTCCCTCCTGGAGCTTCTGAATACTGCAAAACAGGTGTTATGTGGATAGGAGGTGCTGGGGTGAAGGGGAAGGAGATCAGCAGGGCCACCAGAGGGTATGAGGTGCTGTGGGAAGGGGAGCAGAGGGGAGGGCTTGGCTGCCAGTGGATGATGAAGATCCATTAATTTTTCCTGATGGGTGCTCCAGCCCTGGAGCACCCATAGAGTCGACATCTATGCATACAATAGAACAAAAACAGTTAAGGACATTTTAAATTAGACAAAAATACTCCAGGCACAGAGATAAGGTCCCTGCAGTTTCAGCTTGTCATTCAAAGGAATGAAGTGAAACTATAGATATCCATGCAGCCTTTTTTTAACAGCCTTAGTTCAAAATTTTCAATGATAGAAAGCACAGCCCTGTTATAAAAGGGACCTAAAATGTATCACCATTATAGGCTGCAGGGGGAGGAGGAGAGGAGAGGGTGCATATAACAAATGGAACTATATACCAGTACTTCAAAAAAAGAAATATTTAAAAAAAAAACAGGAGAGAATGCCATTTTTTTTTCTATTTACTTACACTACAGAAACACATGACATTCTGAAGGCATTTTTCTGGTATCAGACAAGAGTTGCTATTTTGAAGAATGCCCATTTTTGACATTTAAACTGTTTAAAACAGTTTAAGTTATACTAACCCCTAGCTTTTCTTCCTCTTTCATCTTTTGAAGTTCATTCTCCATTATCTGTTTTTCTTCTGATAGCAACTGATATTCATTTAGAATTTTCTGGTATTTCTAAAAAGAGACATATTATAGTTAATTGTAAGAACAAGATACCCTCATTTCAGTTCACCTATTATAACTATTCTTGTTACATAAGTGTGACAGGGCGAGCCAGCCCTGCACTGAATTCACAGGGTTTAGCCAGGTTACCCTGCCTAAAGGAGCCCAGCCCAGACGACCCTGCTGGGCATGCTCAGATTGTAGCCCAGCTATAAAAGCCTGTGGAGCTGCTCAGTCTGGGCTGACTGCCAGAGGAGAAGGACCTTAGGGTCTGTCTACATTAGCTCGTTAATTCGAGGTAGGTAGGCAAATGAGGCGATCGGAGTTGCAAGTGAAGCCCGGGATTTAAATATCCCGGGCTTTATTTGCATGTTCCCGTCCGGTCGCCATTTTGAAATTTCACTAGCCCGAACTCACTGCCGCACGGCTACATGCGGCAGTGAAACGTTAATTTGAACTAAGTCCTTAGTTTGAATTAACTGTTACTCCTCATTCCACGAGGAGTAACAGTTAATTCAAACTAAGAACTTAGTTCGAATTAACGTTTCACTGCCGCATGTAGCCGTGCGGCAGTGAATTCGGGCTAGTGAAATTTCAAAATGGCGACCGGACGGGAACATGCAAATAAAGCCCGGGATATTTAAATCCCGGGCTTCACTTGCAACTCCGATTGCCTCATTTGCCTACCTATCTCGAATTATCGAATTATTGAGCTAGTGTAGGCATACCCTTAGAGAGGAGCTCCTGACCAGCACCAGCCAGCTGCCCAGAAGGGGAGACAGCCAAGCTGCTCGTGCATGTTGGGGTGACTCCACTGCTGCCTACGTGGAAGGAACAACCCCCGGAGCATTAGAGGACCCTGTGGGAACATGGGAGGAGACCTCGTCGGACCACATAGGAAGTGGCCCAGGGAGGTTGCAGGAGCATCCTCTCCTGCCCTGGGAATGTTGGCGCGTTTTGGACGGATTCCCCGCCGAGGGAGTGGTGAGCCATCCTGCCACTCACAGGACCCTGGGCCAGGACCCACTGGAGTAGGGTGGGCCCGGATCCCCCTACCAGGGGTGCCATTTCCCTTCCTCCAGCGACTTGCCATCGCAGGCCTTTCAGCCCTGCCTTAAAGGGCCAACCAGTCAGGGAATAGAGACTTGGGCCAGTGGGCCCTGCGTTAGAGACACTCGCTAACTCTGCATAGAGACTCAGGCCAGTGGGCCAAGGGGCCCTGCCTTAAAGGGCCACCCGGTGACTTTGCGTAGAGACTTGAGACGGGGGCCTGCATTAAAGGAACTTTATACAGAGACTCGAGACACTTCTCCTGTCCTCTGGAGGAGGCAAGAAAGTCAGCCCCGTGACAATAAGGAAGAACTGAAATGTCTAAATGGGAAGGAAGAAACATGCCAGGGCTTAAACATGGAAGGCACTGGACACTCTGAAATTGCTTGTAGTTACTCTGAACTAGCATTTGCTAAAACTCAGAGATTTTGGTTCATCAAAAGTTTTGGTATTTTTTTAATCTGCTTTCATCCCGATTTGGAACCAAAGCAAATTTGCCAAAACTTCTTGGCAACCTGGAAATCCTGAATATTATTGCAGAAACATGAAACTATGGTGTTCCTAAAATAAAATGTGAAATTGGCATTCTTGTTAGTTGCACAGCTTACATGAAAATTAACAAGAATGCATAAACCACTTAGCTGCTCTAGAAGGGAGATAAGATCAATGCTGGAACAAGAATTCTTGGGGCTGCTAGGCTCCCTGCTGCAGATGGGGCGGGGGGGGGGGGGGAAGGGGCAGAACTGGACACAATACTCCACGAACTGTTTTGCTGGAAAAGCACTGACCATTTACTCATCACTGCTAAGGGAGGTATTCAGCACTGTGTAAGTTCAAACCCTTAATTTCCCCCAGACTTTATTTATTTGAAGTCTTCTATTTCTTGGACTTGTGAATTTACTAAGATTAAATTTAAGATTAAATTAGTCCTTTTGTTTTTATAGTATACTGCTGAAAGTGTGTTATAACTGAAAGATAAATGGACTTAGATTATCCAGTATAGGTGTGTATATGTGATACATCTGGACTTTATTTTGATTCTTTAAAAGCCTTTTCTTTTTGCCGAATCAATGAGGGTAAACAGTAATAATTCAATCATTATCTCACATAAAACAACGGGTTTTCCATCAAACTATGATCTAGGAAAGTCACAATTTTAACTTTAAAGTACAGTATACTTACACCCTCTAGGACATCTTGTTCATTTGAAATTCTGAAAAATGAAGCACAACATCCTTCTGATTTATATTTTCCATAATAATTGTCATTTTAAGTCAAGCTGCATGGAATCAAAGTCATTATAAAATGACATTTCACTAAATACTTAGTCCTCTTGAATTTAAATGAACAAAATGTAGTGCAGCATTTGTGGCTATATATTGTTTTGGTTTTACACCCAGGGTGAATAATGTATTTTAAATGGTATCACTATAACTTCATATCTTCTGAACATATAGAGTTTCTGTATTTTGTTTAGTTTTCTTTGTAAAGTATAGATTTTTTTCCCCTCTACTTTAGAATACAATCAAACTAGTGTCTTCATTGATGTTATTACATAGAAGAAGATTACTCATCTTGTGCAGTAACTGAGGTTCTTCAAGATGCGTATCCTGGGCGGGGTACTCCATTTCAGGAACTGGGGTACCCCTATGCCACTGATTGGAGATCTCCAGTAACAGTGTCTAGTCAGGATGCATATATGCAGTAGCTGTTTTGCACTGCCTAAGTTATTGCACAAAGTAACCTTTTTTCTTTTTTGAGTATGTCTCTGTGGATGCTACATGTCAGATGACTATACAGCAGTGCTCAATTATGGAATGATGGGTTTCAGAGTTGTTTGTACAGTTGAGGCAAGTACTGTATAGCCAAGGATTGCATAGGCCTCTGAGCTCTGTGTTACTGCATAGTGATTTGCAAAAGTGTGTACAGAAGGTCAAGTGGCAGATGAGCATAGTTCTCTGATTGTAACATTATGTAAAAATGCAGGTGAGGTCGAATCTGATCTTGTTAATTGGTCACTGGTCCCTGTTGGGGGTTCCATTTTTTGGTACTGGTAATGTTGGGATATGTAAACATTAATAGGGGTCTGGGATAGTGGTAAGGGGTCAGCCACAGCAGCCATTGCCCTTTAAACAGGTATTTCCCTTTTTTCCTGGCAGCCTTGAAAGATGGTTGCACTGAACAGTGTCTTGTTTTGTCTTCACACTTGTTCTGTAAAAACATTTTCAGAGTCCGAGTTCTTTCCCACTCTCTATAAGCTGCTGATTAAGATAGTATGTAATGCTGATTTTAACTAAAAACTAGTAAACAACAAACAGGGGTGCGTATAATTGTATTCGTTGCCTGCTTATTAATAATCATTTTATGGGAGTTAAGATTTTAGGGAAAGTAGTGATAGATGTAGTGATGATAGATTTTTACTAAAATAGATAAAAGGGTGTAACTTGTGCCAAATTGTTGTCACTCGGAAAGTTGTGTTGGGGGGTCTGAGATTAACGTGTGTGGGCAATAAAGCAGTTCTGTTTACCTCATCCACTCCTGGGTTGCATGTTTTTTCTCTAACATCTAGCGTCACGAACAGGATCCCAGGAAAGAGTTGCGCCTGATCATCATGTTTTGATGGATCACATGGGTAAATCTGACAGGCTCTTTACTGCAACAACTGTTAGGAATTTTATTAACAAGTGGGTGGGGAAATGGGGAGGGGATCCTTATGTGGCTCCCTTCTGGGGTCATCAGGATTGGTCTGCCATCCAGGGGTGGTTACGGGACTACCATGCATCCAGGGGTTCCCAGGGTTGTGCTGGAACAGGCTCTGTGTAAGGATCTGTCACGTTTGTAGGAGGAAGTTACTAATCTTAGAAGTAAAGTAGAAACTCCACAGCAGATTGTTGAGGAGCAACATACTGTTAATTATTAGAATGTGTTGGCAGCCAGAATGGTTGAAAACTGCATGGACAAGTTTTAATCATCTTAAGTCAAAGAACCTGGACCTGAAGGGTCAAGCAGACTCCTTAAAGCAAGCTTCTTACTCCCTCCTACTCCTCCTACTTCTGTTACCCCTTCTGCCCCTCTTTAAAGCAAAATTCCTTTTCTCCTCACCCCCTCTCTTCAATGAGAGGTACACAAACATAGGACATTTGAATTTGTAAAGAAAAGGACCAGCAGATGTGGGGGCTAGTTAAAAAGACCACTCTCCTTGCTAAATTAGAAGAGTAATCCTGTGCCCATGGAAAGGGACCATTTAGCAAGAGGAAAAAAGGCAGCAGGGCAGCAGCAATAGAAGGGCAGGGGCCAGCCAGCTCAGCACAGGGACAGGAAGCAAAGGAAGGTGTGGGTACAGACCTTCCGGCAAGGACTGGGGAGTGGCATTGCCACTGATGCTGGTGAATGAACTACTGCTGCATCTAGGGAGCACAGACACTTTTCTGTAGGTTTTACAAAAATAGAGAACATTTGAATGGTACAGAAAAAACCCCTACAGAGCCGAGTATTTGGAATGGAGAGCGCAGCCAACCTAGGCAGGCCCCTGGGGCAGAGGACCATGAAGGGGCCCAGAAGACCATGGCAGAGGATGTCAGGCACAGGAACTATATGGCTATGTCTAGAATGTAGGCTTCTTTTGGAAGAGAAGTTCCGAAAAAACTTCTTCCGAAAGAGAGTGTCCAGACCCACATAAAAGGCCACCCAGAACCACTTCAGCCAGGGTTTTAGGTCACCAGTTGCTTCTGAGGGTATGTCTAGACTACATGGCTCCATCAACGGAGCCATGTAAACTAGTTTACCCGGCATAGGCAAAGAAACAGGGATAGAAATAATCCCCGCTTCATTAAAATAAACATGACTGCTGCGCTGTGCCGACAATCAGTGATCCGGCACAGCGCGGCAGGCATGTTTATTTTAATGAAGCGGGGATTATTTCTATCCCTGTTTCTTTGCCTATGCCGGGTAAACTAGTTTACCCGGCATAGGCAAAGAAACAGGGATAGAAATAATCCCCGCTTCATTAAAATAAACATGCCTGCCGCGCTGTGCCGACAATCAGTGATCCGGCACAGCGCGGCAGGCATGTTTATTTTAATGAAGCGGGGATTATTTCTATCCCTGTTTCTTTGCCTATGCCAGATAAACTAGTTTACCACGGCTCCATCGACAGAGGCATGTAGTCTAGACATACCCTGAGTGCTGGTGCTGGAGCCTTGCAGAGACGTGCACTTAAAGAGACTACCCTGAACAGCTGTTTCTCTGCTTCTGCAGTGTGTTTGCTACCTCTTTGAGGGACAGCAAAGCATTAGCGGTGACTGCTGTGGTTGCCTTGTTCTTTTTTAGCTGCCACAGGTTTTTTCCTTTGAGCCATGGAGCCAGAGCTGCCCCTGGGCATGTGATGGTGCAACATGGCCATGCTGCAGTTTTTGAAGCACCTTCTGCCAGCTGCCTTCCTGATCTTGACTCAGCTTGACCCTGAGCTCATTCTAGGGACCCTGTCCCTGGGTGTGGCTGCTCCACTCTGGCAACCACACCCCACTGTGGAGAGGCATTTTTGGAGGATCGACACCAAATCAGACTGGTGGGACCGACTGGTCCTGGAGTGGTGGAACAACCAACAGTGGCTCCAAAAACTTCCACATGCAGAAGGCTACCTTTTTGGAGCTATGTGCCTGGCTCGCCCTCACCCTCTGGAGACATGACACCCACTTGCAGCCTGCCATCCCCCTAGGAAAACAGGTCACAATAGCCCTCTGGAAGCTCACCACCCCAGACAGCTACTGGTCAGTGGGCAACCAGTTCGGCATGGGGAAGTCCATCACTGGGGTCCTTATGTGGAGGGAAGTGTTGGATAAGGGGGACCCTCAGAAAAGGGGAGTTGAGGGCTGTGGAGTTGGAGGAGGAGCCCCATCCACAGGGGCTTCTGATGAGTGAGGGCAGACAGCCCTGCTGCTGGGGGGCGATGGCCTCAAAGGAGGTGACTCGTGGGGTGTTTGGGGGGAGGGGAGCAGGGCAGGCACCTCCCAAGGGCTCAGGCACCCCCTTTCTCATTCTCTGTTTCGTGTGTTTCTTTGTCTCCTTCTGCAGGTGGTGAGGGCCATCAACTTGATCCTGCTGTGAAGGGTCATCCGTCTGGGAGACCTGGACGCGACCGAGGCCGGATTTGCTGCCCTGGGGTTCCCGAACTATGGCAGAGCCATTGATGGGACCCACATTCTGATCTGAGCACCAGAACATGGAGCAGCCCAGGACATTAACCAAAAGGGCTACTTTTCGATGGTGCTGCGGGCCCTGGTCGACCACTGGAGACACTTTACAGACATTTTTGTTGGGTGGTCCAAGCTTGCGGTGGAACATTTATATGTGTGCAGAAGCGTATGCAAGCAAGGAATACAGCTTTTAGTTCTAGGAGGCTGATATGAAAAACTGCCTCTGCCGCCAACCATTTGCCTTGCATGGACATGCCATCGATGTGTGCCCCCCAGCCCAAAAAGGAGGTGTCTGTAGTCAACTGGGTCGATGGCTGTTGACATTTGAATGGAACCCCTGCTAGCAGATTTCTGGGGTTCAACCACCAACCCAGGGATCTGCGAAGTAAAAGAGTTGGGGTTATCACTTTGTGTGTGGAGTGGTTTTTTTGGAATATACACCAATGCCATCCAGTGTTGGAGACAGAGAAAATAAAGTCTCGCATGTTGGACCACGAAGGTGGTGGCCACCATATGCCCCATGAAGCGGAGACAGGTAAGTACGGTGACTGTAGGGGCATGGATGACTACCATGGCCAGCTCATGTATAACTTGGAAGCGCTCTTGAGGTAAGCACACACGGGCCGTGGTGGAATCCAGACGTGCACCTATGAAATTTATACTCTGCGTAGGATCTGGAGACAACTTTTACTCGTTGATTATGAGCCCAAGTGATAGAAATGTCTGTCTGGTTAGTGTCACCATGCGAAGGAACTCTTGTCTTGACCTGCCTTTTATGACCACGTCTCTGCGCCGCAGGTGAGCCACTACTACGGCCAGGATTTTTTAAAACACCCTGGGAGCAGATGCAAGTCCAAACGTGTCAAGTATCAGAGGGGTAGCCGTGTTAGTCTGAATCTGCAAAAGCGGCAAGGAGTCCTGTGGCACCTTATAGACTAACCGAAGTGTTGGAGCATAAGCTTTCGTGGGCAAAGACCCACTTTGTCAGATGCATGTAGTGGAAATTTCCAGAGGCAGG